GTAAGTAGAAGTAGCAAGACGTACCTGTAATCTTGCATGTTTATGAGACAGACAAAAGACACCAGCAATCCTACCATCATGTAAAACAATTACAGGTTTTCGTTTTACACTCACTTGGCAGAACGGTAGTACCTCCCTGGGTGGTTGCTGTCTACCAACCTACTACCTAGTACTGCATTATTATATATATAAATATACGTACGCTTAACAATTCACAAACAGGTAAAATTATTTACAAACTTCATCTCTCAGTCGACAGCAGGATTCGAACCTGCACACACTGCATCAAAGTACACAGTACTTTAACCAGGGTCTGGCTGTGTGGATAAAGTACTGTGTACTTTGATGCAATGTGTGCAGGTTTAAATCCTGATGTGGACTTAGAGATAATATTGTATGTATGTATGTAGTTAAATAAAAGAGAAACTTTCGTTTTTCTCTTTAGGTCACCCTGCCTCGGTGGGATATGGCCGGTTCATTGAAAAAAATAGTAGTTAAATATAATATGTCATCCAAATTTCTCTAACTCCTCCTTCCCTTTTTTTCCTCTCTCTCTCTCTCACACAATTTCTCTTGGCCCCATTCTGGAATGGAGGTGACAGGCCATCCCAGAAGATGGCAATTCCTAAGCACTGTACAAGTAATGAATGGTTTTGAAAACCAACAAGTTGAAGATTGAGACACTTATGCAACATATGGGAATCTTTATTTAGGAAATGTTTCACCACACAGTGGCTTTATCAGTCCAATACAAAGTAGAAATGGGTAAGGAGAGCGAGGTAATCAGTCCCTCAGCCTGGAATCGATGTGTTCAGTCCATCACTCTTGTAGGAAGTACAGCATAGGACCATAGATGTGGCTTATATACTGTAGTCAGGTGAGGTGAAGCAGGAGGTGGGGTCATAGTGGTACCACTATGATCCTGCCTCCTCCTGCTTCACCTCACCTGACTACAGTATATAAGCCACATCTATGGTCCTATGCTATACTTCCTACAAGAGTGATGGACTGAACACATCGATTCCAGGCTGAGGGACTGATTACCTCACTCTCTTTACCCATTTCTACTTTGTACTGGACTGATGACGCCACTGTGTGGCAAAACGTTTCCTAAATAAAGATTCCCATATGTTGCATAAGTGTCTCAATGTTCAACACTGTACAAGTAGCTCCAGTTTTGCTGAAACGAAACCTTTGAGGCTCCCACAGCTGAATACTTGATGATAAACTCATTACCATACTAAAGTCTCCCAGCTCAGGCTGACAGATTTCAACAGTATACATGTGGCCCATCCTATGTGACGGAATATGACAAGAAAATGTAGTTAGCATTTATTTCTACTGTATAACTATCATATAAAATATGGTAGCAGCACACTGCTGTTGTATCCAATTTTCATAAAAAAGGTAAATAATAAGAAAAGCATTATTTTAGACACCTGAATGACTATTTTATACTGCAAAGAAACCAGAAGCCATTGCCATAGCTTTCTGTCCACCCCCAGGACCATCCAACTCTACTACACTTCTTCATGTTGCCATGCCAACATGCCAAGAACCAAACAAACATTGTTTGTTTAGTTTAATTTACAAAACATTACAACCATTTGCTTATTCAGCATTTTAAACATTTACCTTTTCTAACATTATCAAATTTACACTAACATTATCAACTTGCTATTCTGATGACCGATTCCCTGTCATATTACAAAATCAAAACAGCAAGTAAAACTACTCAAAGTCAATTTATCACATTCTACAATTCATTCTATGTGACTGATCATGTGTTGGTAAATTCAGACAAGTGAAAATCTGTTCACCATTTATGTCAAAATAAATGCTGGATTCCTAGGTATGCATCCTGTGGAGAGAATAGCACCTTTTCCAAAGAGACCCTTCACCACTACAAACTACTCAAACACTACCACCACATTATGGGTGGGTTAAGCTATGCTGTTCATTCCTTGTAAACACACCACTGGTGCATATGTGGTTCTTCCATACTAAAGTTTTATTAGGAAAAGTAAAGTTTACTGGAAATGTTTCTTCCATGAATGCAACTCTGATTATATAATGGGAGTCCATGAGAAAAGTGGTTTTGGATAACACAAGTTTGCTTAAATATACTTATTTGAGGAACATATCTCTAAAGCTAAGCAAGAAATGCAAGTGTATATAAAAAATAAACAAGTGTGACATATACAACAATTTTAATGTGTTTACATAGCACATTTACAGTGGTGTAATGCCAAGCTACTTAGACTTGTCTCAACAAACAGACAAGTAATATGTAAGTAATAAAACATAAACATCAAAGCAGAGTAGGGCATCACACAAGTACACACATTTCTGCAAACCCCTTAATTTTCAAACCCCAGCTATACAAAAAGAATGATACACCCATACCAAAAACAGCAGCAGGGGATGGGAAAACTTCAAACATTCTTAACCCAGTAGTAGACCAACCAATAGTTATTACAGAAATAAGGATACCCCTGCCAAGGCAGATGCCACCACAACATACACTATTACTGTGATGCTACCATATACTGTACCTTGGATGAGTTCCAAGAGTTTTTCTATTCCCAGAGACCAGCCCTGGCCCAGGCTCGTCTGGTGAAATCAGATCGTCATTCAATCTCCAATCCCAACATTCAAGCAATATGAATCCCAACATTCAAGCAATATGACTGAATAAAGGTAAGGGAATAACAAAACTCAAGATCTGGCAACTAAAACCCATACCAAAGATGCCGGATTTTCAACATGATCAGATAATCATTTACAATAGACAGGAAAAAAAATGTAAAAAAATCAAGAGACAAGAATCAGTAATCAAAAGTCAAAAGGAAGAAATGAAAAATCTTTGGGCAAGTTTTGCCACACAAAAAAAAATTTCATGAATAAGACAATTCATGTGAAATAAAGTCAACAAACCATGATGAAATTATATACTGCACTGTACAATAATCAAAAGTTTTCAGACAAATTGAAGGAAAATTTTGTCATTCTTAACACCAAACAAACATAGGCTGTTGAATAACTTATACCATGGAACAACAGCAACAACTCATTGATGATGTTGTAATGAAAAGTCATAATCTCCCTCAAGAAGCAATTCAGGGTTGTGAAAACACTGTTTTGTACCTTATCAAATGAAAGACTTATTTAACCCTTTGACTGTTTCGGTCATATAAATATGTCTTACGCACCCGTTCCTGACGTATTTATACGCATAAATTCTAGCAGCTTCAAATCAAGCAGGAGAAAGCTGGTAGGCCCACATGTGAGAGAATGGGTCTGTGTGGTCAGTGTGCACCACAAAAAAAATCCTGCAACATGCAGTGCGTAATGAGAAAAAAAACTGACCGTTTTTCTGGATTAAAACACCAACTTTGAGGTGTATTTTCATATAGTATTTATCATTGTATTCTCGTTTTCATGGTCTCAGGTGATAAAATGGAAAACATATTACAGAAATAGAGATGATTTTGATTACTTTCACGATGAAAATGACCTTGAAATTGAGCTCAAAGTAGCGGAAATATTCGATTTTTACCAATGTTCAGGAGTAAACAAATCATACCACTCATCCAGTACACTTCAACTGGGGAGTCTAATAATTCTTTCACTAGTGCATTGACATTATTTATACCATTTTTACAATAATGCAGTAGTCTGCACAACAGTAAATTTTGTATTTTTTTGTATGAATAAAAAATCAAAATAGAAAGCAATAGTAATGTGAGGGGCCTAGAGACGTGACTAATGAACAGAGGATATGTTATTTTAGTGCCAAGATGTCTACATTGTTTATTCTGGACCCTATTTTGAAATTGGCATCTTTTTTAATTTGCATGAAATTGGCCAAATTGCCAATTTCTGACCACTTTATCGGGTAGTTCAAATCGGTAAATGGGTGGTTTCTTGTACTCAACTCATAGAAAAAATGGAGTTCTAAAGAAATAGCTATGAGTTTGGTCAACTGGAACAACTGAATTGGCCAGAAACAGGGCTCAAAGTCGGCGAAATCACCGATGCGTATATGTCGCCGAGACCACTAACTTTGTGGGAGCGTAATTCCGTGAGTTTTCAACCAAATTTCGTACTTTTGGTGTCATTACCATCGGGAAAAGATTCTCTATCATTTCACAAGAAAAATTTTTTTTTTTTTTCCAAATATTTATCGATATAGAATGACAGTTTCAGAAAGGGACCTGCGACAGTCAAAGGGTTAAAAGAACCTTACAAATTAGATAAACTAGTTAAATGTTTCAGATCTATTAATTAAGAAAAAACACTTAATCACTAAGTAAAAGAGGCATTCATTAAGACTGCTAAAAAAATGCAGGAAGATGTATGATTTACAAAGAGGTTTCATCTATAATGTCATCCAGTCCTTTTAATACACCCATACACACTCACCAATGCTAACATCTGAGGTCAATAAAAAATAATACAAGTTTTTCTCAGTCTGCCTCCATCTCAATAAAGAATACAACTTGGAAGATAAGAAACTGGATAGTTTCAACCTGATATATCTATTAGACAGTTCCTAACTTATGTTCTCCCTCGTAATTCAAAGACACCTTAAACAGGGAGAATATGTGACCACAGTCACCCACAGTGGGGCTTTAAAGTAACACTGTGGGAGTAATGTCATAAAATAAAGGTTCTCCCTGGTTGAAGTGTTATGAATGACACAAAATTAGGAAAGAAAATTTATGATGATGTTTCAATCAATCCTGAACCACTGTCAAATTGTTTAGTTGTGACAACAATGGTCCAAAACTGACTGAAACATCATCAAAAGTGTCCTCTTCAAAGTACGGATTATTTGTTATTTTGTCTCTTTGTAAGATACAATAAATTGAAAAAGTATTATAAAATAAAATACATCCTGTATAATGATTAGAAATGACATTCATAAAGAAGAGAATTCTTTGCTAAATATTTTCTAAAGTAAATGAATATAAATAATAATAGAGGATTATACTCACCACAACAAGAAGGTAATTATCAGTTGAGCCCTTACATACTCCTACAATGCCTTTAGATGACACATCAGTATCTCCACCCATCATGACTGGGGATCCTCTGGTCTTGAAGTGATCACATAAAGTATCTATATGTTCACACAAATCTTTACCACGCCTTGTATGAATAATTTTGCACTGAACATTATAAATAGTGTCTAATACATGGCAAACCTGTAACAAAATTATTCATCAATTTACATTCATAATAAATATACTACTTTTGTTTCCAACTAGACAAAATACTGCACATTATCTATATAATAAATATGAAAATACTCAACAGTATGGTACTATATGATATATGGCAAGTCAAAATTAAGTGAATATCTTTAATGAACAAACTTTTTTAAATGTACGTATCTTATAGCAATACGATTCAAATTTTGTATTGTAGCATAATGCATACCTCAACACTGCCTATCCACTGTTTCGAGTTTAGAAAGTTCTCTTCCTTATCTCCAATTTCCACGAGGATTTCCTGTATGTGATGATTGGAAGGTACAGCTCGTAAACTGCTCGAAGATCCTTGTGACTTTTGTAACTGCCCTCGAACCCACGAACACAGAGTCATAAGTGTTCTATATCCACAGCCCCAGCCCTGGAAGACACATTTACCCATCACAAAAGTTGCATCCACCAAAATATAACAGGTTTCAATGACTGAATTTTGTGATGCCAATAGCATACAGTAAAATTAATATAAAAAAAAAAAAATACAGGAGTATGGCTCTGGGGTGGTAAGTGACAGAAAAGAGAGAACAGAAAACAGAGGCTTTTTTATTTTGCTTCACTTACAAGTCTTATCAAGTACATATAGGAAATATATGAAATTTTCTGTTTGAAAAGAAAATATCACAAGTGATTATACAGTGGTACCTTGACTTACAAGTGCCCCAACTTACGAGTTTTCCGATTTACGAGCAGTCACTCGGTCGATTTTGTGCTTTGAGTTGCGAGCCAAAATCCGAGTTACGGGCAAGCTTCAGATATGCCACCACTAGTTGGCACAGCAAAGGCCACAACATCCGCTCAGCATCCCAGCGTTTTGTGCTTTTTGTGCAGTTATTTTGCCAAATTTCTTTTTTCTAACCATGTGTCCTAAGAAAGTAACTGCAAAGGACAATGCTGAGAAGAAGAGAATGATGACCATTGAATTAAAACACGAAATCATAGAAAAACACGAGAAAAATCGCTTTTGTTTCAGTGTTTTCCACATGAAACTAGTGATCTAGTGCAGTTAGCCTCACAAACACTCCATTTTCTCTTATAATAAGACCTCAGAAGGGCAAGAATGGGAAGACATGGTCAGAGCAATAATTATTTTTACCTCGGAAGTGGCTGCCACCTCTCATCATATGACATTTTATTCATTCTAAAGTATATATCATGTTTCTATGTTATTTATATTGTTTATTACATATGTCATATTAGATCAATTGTGATATGTAAATAAGCCGTAGAGTTGAAATCAGCATTATATTGAAGAGTCAGGAATTCTGCTGGAACGGATTAATGGCATTTCAATTAATTTCAATGAGGAAAATTTATTTGATATACGAGTAAATTGAGTTACAAGCTTGGTCACAGAATGAATTAAACTCGTAAGTCAGGGTACCACTGTGTAGGTATATGACCGTCACTACAAGTTCATGTAAATGTAGTGGCAAGAAACTCCTAAGCTGTACTGAAAAATCTCACAAGACCCTTCAAATAGTACATGAATTATGACATACTAAAAAAATATTACTGTACATATATGTATCACCCAAATCAGAAATTGCAGCGGCACTATGATCTCCACACTCAAAAATAACTGAACTATAAAATGCCCAAAAACTCTACAAAATGGCTCTCAGATCTTAAAAAAAAAATAATACAAGTTAGGAAGAAAGACTATATATACTAAAAATGACCTTGCTAATTGATACAACAATAAGTTAGTTTATTAAGGTATACACAAATACAGTTACATAGATTATCATACATAGCAGCATGTGTAGAGAATCTAGAATAACCCAAAAAAGTCAGACAAAGTGACTTATTTATATTGGCATAACCATTGCCAAATCGTTTTTTTTTTCATGAATGTGGGTGGAATACTGTAATGGGGATTCAAGAGAAGGTAGTGTGTATTACAACTCAAGAAACTAAAGAAACATCCTTAAATATTAGCCAATAAAATTCAACTTTTTATCCTGTTCGGAAACCAAATTGGTTGTTTTAGGCTAACTTGGATGTACTGATCACAAATTTGATCTTACAATCAATATTCTGGCTATTTAACCCTTTGAGGGTTGACAGGCCCTCTCAGAAACTCGTTCTCAGGGTCGGCCAAATTAAAAAAAAAAAAAAAATTCTTATGAAAAGATAGAGAATCTTTTCCCGATCATAATTACACCAAAATTATGAGATTTGATGGAAAACTTACGGAATTATGCTCTCGCGAAGTTAGCGGTCTCGGCGATGTTTACGCATTGGCGATTTTGCCCAATTTGAGCCCCATTTTCGGCCAATTCCTCTGTACTAGTCGACAAAAAACATGAATATTTCGCTAGAACTACATTTTTTCTATTGAATGAGTGCAAGAAACCACCCATTTACCACCAACTATCCAATACAGTGGTCAGAATTTAGCAATTTTGCCAATTTCACACAAATTTCAAAAAATGCCAATTTCCGAATAGGGTCCAGAACAAACAAGAAATACATTCCTGGCACTAAAATGACATTTCTTCTGTTCATTAGTCACGTCTCAAGGCCCCTCTTACATTCTTTTGCTTTCCACTTAGAATTTTTATTCTCACGAAAAATAGAAGATTTACTGTTATGCAGACTACTGCATTAGTATAAAAAATGGTATAAATCATATTGGCGCACTTGCAAAAGAATGTTAGACTCACCAGTTGACGTGTATTGGACGCTTGGCATGATTTGTTTACTTTTGAACTTTGGTAAAAATCGAACATTTCTGCTACTTTGAGCTCAATTTCAAGGTACTTTTCATTGTAAAACCAGTGAAAATCATCTCAATTTCTGTGATATGCATTCCATTCTATAAAATGAGACCAAGAAAACTAGAATACAACAATAAATACCATACGAAAATACAGTGCAAAGTCGCTGTTTTATGCCAAAAAAACGGTGAAAGTTTTTTTTTTCTCATTATGCACTGTGTGCTGCAGGATTTTTTTTATACTGTGCACACTGACCACATAGACCCATTCTTTCATATGGAGGCCTACCAGCCTTTTCCCGCGAGATTTGATTGCGCTAGAATTTATGCGTACTAGTACGTCAAAAACCCCTGTGCGTAAGACGTACTAGTACGTCCGAAACCCTCAAAGGGTTAAGGTTGAAGAACCACATGAAATATGTTGTAAAGCAATCATATGTATTACACTATGCATAGATATTAACTGCAGTGCATGAAATGACCAAACTAATCTTTCTTAACATAAATTCATTATGTATATATGCATAATAAAAATAGCAGAGGTTTCCATACAGTCACACAACATACTTACATCACAGTTTTCTTTTTAAATTTGGTAATGTATACAGGAGAAGGGGTTACCAGTCACTTGCTCCTGGCATTTGAGTCACCTCTTATGACACACATGGCTTAAGGAGGAAGAATTCTTTTCCACTTTCCCATTGAGAATATTTTAAGTATCTTCCATAATATGCATGCCTGTGGGGAAAGCCCTTTGGAAAGGAAATATTATATTGTATAAGTAGTATTGGTGCATAGTCACCATTGGTATTGTCACTGGCTTCCTGCAAAAGTGTGTCCATTTTGACTGAAACAGTTACATTACTATGATAAACATTCTTTGCTGATACATGGTATCAAGGGTGCAAAGGTATTTTGGTTCATTGTAAATTTGTGGTATTAAAGACAAGATGCTTGTCAGAAGAAAATTAATTGCAGCTGTTTATTTGAACCTGTAAATGATTTATGATAATACTATATAGCCTAAGTTTAATCATTTCTGGTAACATTTTCACACCCCCAAAGCTTTTCCCTGGGGGTAAGGTTACTGGTACATGATATGCAGTACATAAACATTATTAAAGATAAGTTGAGTCCAACTAGGGAGTTGGAAGATTTTTCAGACTTTCACAGTGAGATTGAAAAATTACTCGTGTACAAATACAGTACAAGGGAAGTAGATCATTTAGGAGTGTGGCATTTACCTATTTATAATTTGTGGTATCTTTTACAGAAACAGAGATATCTCATGGTGTCTTCTCTCATGTTTTCTTGTTTAATTATATGGGATTATTATGAAATGATCAATAAAAGTAGTTTTCTTCAATATGTATTTGTGAATAAAGGGTTAAAAGGTATATTTGTGGAAGCACATCTTTATAGTGACTGATACAGATGATCATTATCTGGTGGTAGTAAGACAATAGAATACAAGAAAAGCAGTGCCAGTATGTAAAAAAGGAAGATGAGAGGAATTAAAGGAGATACAGGACTGTACCTGCATTGTGAAATGACCTTCTGTTTAAACAGTCATGATTTCTTGTTGATTCAACAAGGTACAATATTTACCAGTGCCTCTGCTACCAATGCTAGCAATTCTTACCCGATCATCAAATCCATCACAGCCATAGTGGTAATAGAGGTAATCTCCAACAACAAGATATACTTCTGATACATCTGCTGGAAGTTGTAACCCACTGTGTATGTTTGGCAGGAGGTCACAAACATAATCATGTCCACCTCCCATTTACTCTGAAAAGGATGCAACATTATGATACTATGCAAGACTTCAATCACCTGCATGACAAAACTTCAATTAAAGCATGATTGTCACATTACATAATAGTGATTTACGAACATTTTTTATACTACTGGACATACTTTCATATAAGAAAAACTTACTATACAAAAAATAACCACTGAGGCTGGGTGCCATCTGTTAAAGAGCTAAGTGACCCAACACTGGGAACATACCAGGATATTACTGTACTTGTTATTGGTGAAGACTGGCTAATTGATTATATACTGCAATGTTTCTAATGACATTTCTGTCATGACTAGATTTAACATGTATCTGAAGGGTGGACAGTCAATGCATGGAGAAATAGACATTCTATGATGAGTGGCAAAATGATAAAACTAAAAAAAAAAAAAAAAAAAAAAAAAAATTGAGAACATGGTTAATACATTTTTTAAAACTGAAAAGATGTACAGTACTTTGAGTGTTACAACAGTTAGAACCTTCCCCAAGGTAAATTACATGTGGGTCAGTTCACTAAATGGACAAACAATTAGCCACAAAATCACATGGGTCACTCAGTCCTCGTGATATCCATTGGACCAGCATGCATGACTGATAGAGATGAGCCATTATTACAGTATGACATGACAAAGTTTGAACACTTATGTTTACTATACATTTTCATTAAAGCCTCATACATAATTTTAAACTTGTAAGTTATTTCATATAGTAAATAATGTAAAAATTTAACCTAGGATAATCCAATAAAATCAAATGGAGTACTTCTATTGCTATCCTTGAAAGACTAATAATACATTATGAAACAATAGCTTAGTGAATAAATACTGTATACACAAGTGAGCAACCACCTATACACAGTTTTGTGACTTCTTGAAGTGTCTTGCACCAAGCAGGCAGGTTTTCTTTTGATTTTTATGTAGTTTTCTGTTACCTCACATCTTTTAATGAGGTTTTATTTTGATAATAACTGAGGATGTCCTATGAAAAAAAAGGGCAATTACAACCAATTTTTGCTCTTTTTCTCAAATCTGAGTTTATTAATATGCAGTAGGTATAGTATAATTAGACAGTAGTTTAATTCTGCCCAAAATACTCTGAACAACTGTAAGCTCTTCAAAATGTACGTAACATAAGCAAATCCTCAAAGAAATAATGTACTGTAATAATATTAACATTAGAGTCAATGTATAGAAACCACAAAATGGCTGCATACAAAAAAAAAAAAATTGGCAATTACAGCCTATTATTATTGTAGGCACAAGCTACATGTTATCCCCAATATTTTATTATGGCAAGATTTATTGTGGTATAAACTACCTGAAGTTGATTCCATAAGTCAGCACCCCCTTGGAATGAATTCAGACCCAACCTCCTGGCCGATTAATAACACTGCTTATGCCAGAAGCATGCAGTCCAGTGTAGGCACCACAGCCCAACTGATCAGGAACTAACTTGAGGAACTTATAAAATTCCCTCTTGAAGACTGCTAGCAGTCTGTTGATAATATCCCCTTATACATAAGCAGAGAGTATTAAAAAGACAGTCCCTTGACACATTATCTCAGTGTAGTCACTGCAATTGTGCCCTATGCTGCATTACATTGCAATGTCTTCAAACCACTTGCTCTTGTAGGGAGTGATTACAGTGTGTGGATTGGTGAAACACACTGCCAAACACAAGGAGTGCCAATGGAAATCAGTCTTATTGTCTGGGTTATCCTAGGTTAAAACTACACAATGTAATTTTTTGTGCCCACAATATCTGTGTGACATAATAAAGCAAAAATTAAAACTTATCTGGAAATTTTCAAACAACCCGTCTCCAACCTGCAGGCAGTTAGGAAGCCTCCATCACAAACTTAATTTATCTCAATCACGTCTTCTGTGTTTTCATGCAGGTAAACAGGTCTCTCATATACTAATTTAGTAAACTACTGGCAAATACTATCCCAACCTAGATCTAAATTTTGTTCTTGGATGACTCCTGGTTATGTTTTAAGTTAGTGAACTTGTCATCCTAGGACCCAAATGGAAATAAGTCACTTTGTCTAACTTTTCTGGGTTATCCTAGGTCGGTTGCTAGCGCACTCAGCTCACACACTGGGGCCTGTGCTTTGATCCCTGGTACAGGTGGAAACATTGGGATGTATTTCCTTAAGACACCTGCTGTCACTGTTCACCTAGCAGAAAAATAGATACCTGGGTAGTTAGTTGACTGTGTAGGTCGCATCCTGGGGACAAAATTAATCTAAGTTGCCCGAAATGCTCTGCATAACCAGGGGCTTTCTATATAGTATGTCACTGATGTCGGCTATGGTCTGTATAACTTGTACATGTACTTGTAGAAATAAAGATTATTATTATTATAATTGTACTTGTGTGAACCTGTACCTAAGTAAGCAAGCTTACCCACTCACTGAGAACTCGCTTGTGCCTTCCACCACCACTCTCTGTGCTGAATGACCCTCATGGGCTTACCATTGCTTGTAAATAAATCAGTCAAATATTGAGTGCGAGAATTCAAAATTAACAGGATAATAGGGGAAATGAACGCAACTTGTGAAATGCCTCCTAATTACCTTTATTACCTGGAGAGAGTTCCGGGGGTCAACGCCCCCGCAGCCCGGTCTGTGACCAGGCCTCTTGGTGGATCAGAGCCTGATCAACCAGACTGTTACTGCTGGCTGCACGCAATCCAACATACGAGCCACAGCCCGGCTGGTCAGGTACCGACTTTAGGTGTTTGTCCAGTGCCTGCTTGAAGACAGCCAGGGGTCTATTGGTAATCCCCCTCATGTATGCTGGGAGGCAGTTGAACAGTCTCGGGGCCCCTGACACTTATTGTATTGTCTCTTAACGTGCTAGTGACACCCCTGCTTTTCATTGGGGGGATGTTGCATCGTCTGCCGAGTCTTTTGCTTTCATTGTGAGTGATTTTCGTGTGCAAGTTTGGTACTAGTCCCTCTAGGATTTTCCAGGTGTATATAATCATGTATCTCTCCCGCCTGCGTTCCAGGGAGTACAGGTTCAGGAAATTCAAGTGCTCCCAGTAATTGAGATGTTTTATCTCCGTTATTGTTATGCCCCTCGTTTGTGAACCTTCTAGGTCAGGTATGATGTATATGTAATGGGCTTTTTCACTTAATATTATATTATTTCTAACCTCATTAGTAGCTAAAATGAGGATAGAGTACTTTATAATATTATCTGGCCTTAATTTATTTAGCTGTGTAAATAGATAGGATGTTTCGATGATGTAAACTACGGGTACAGTTGTTTACTACCCGGCTGTCGTTTAGCCACTGTCCCCTCTTAATCCGAGGTGACGTCAGTCTGAGAATTCTGTTATAGGGCAGTCCACTCTCACCTCTCGTGAGAGAAGCTCCTTGATTCCTGGATTTAACCTTCTGGTCCCACATGAGGTTCCCTAGTGACCCTCCAGTACCTCGAACGGTATCAGACAGAAACGTCTCGGACGAAGTGTGTGTTGCTGTATTGGAGACGCTGGTGATTGTCCCTAGCTCTGCTAGGAGCGAGTTTAAGCAGTATTGGTTCAAAGAGGATGGTGAAAGTCATGGGAGACAGACTCGCCTCAAAACTCCTTTAAGTGTAAAATATTCCTAATCTCACTTAATATATTACGAAAGTTGAATAAGAGTGAATTATTATTGAAGTGTTACGTTTTCTGTCTCATTTGGATTGAGTTAAGCAAAGTGTTATTATGTGAAGTGAAGGTGTTATGATACTAGAGCCGTTCAGTACTATAATCAAGATAATACTGTGTATTATCTTTTAAGTGAACTTAAGTGTAAATTTCATGAGTACTCTGTTTTATGGTGCGACCTTTTTAAAGTTAATATAAAACCCTTTTATGGCTTATTAAGAAACGTAATAAAAAACAGGAAAGAAACATTGTGATTGTTTACTACTGAACCCTTGAATGATTTCATCTAGAACAGGATATTCAATCCTGTTTGTTTGTTGCAAGAAAGGGTTAAACAGGCTTAAGTAGTTGCCCTGTACTCAACAGTTATGCATGCCGTGAAGGTTCTCTGTACATTTTCTAGGTCAGCAATTTCACCTGCCTTGAAAGGTGCTGTTAGTGTGCAGCAATATTCCAGCCTAGATAGAACAAGCGACCTGAAGAGTGTCATCATGGGCTTGGCATCCCTAGTTTTGAAGGTTCTCATTATCCATCCTGTCATTTTTCTAGCAGATGCGATTGATACAATGTTATGGTCCTTGAAGGTGAGATCCTCCGACATGATCACTCCCAGGTCTTTGACGTTGGTGTTTCGCTCTATTTTGTGGCCAGAATTTGTTTTGTACTCTAATGAAGATTTAATTTCCTCGTGTTTACCATATCTGAGTAATTGAAATTTCTCATTGTTGAACTTCATATTGTTTTCTGCAGCCCACTGAAAGATTTGGTTGATGTCCGCCTGGAGGCTTGAAGTGTCTGCAATGGAAGACACTGTCATGCAGATTCGGGTGTCATCTGCAAAGGAAGACACGGTGCTCTGGCTGACATCCCTGTCTATGTCGGATATGAGGATGAGAAACAAGATGGGAGCGAGTACTGTGCCTTGTGGAACAGAGCTTTTCACCGTAGCTGCCTCGGACTTTACTCTGTTGACGACTACTCTTTGTGTTCTATTTGTGAGGAAATTATAAATCCATCGACCGACTTTTCCTGTTAATCCTTTAGCATGCATTTTGTGTGCTATTACGCCATGGTCACACTTGTCGAAGGCTTTTGCAAAGTCTGTATATATTACATCTGCATTCTTTTTGTCTTCTAGTGCATTTAGGACCTTGTCGTAGTGATCCAATAGTTGAGACAGACAGGAGCGACCTGTTCTAAACCCATGTTGCCCTGGGTTGTGTAACTGATGGGTTTCTAGATGGTGGTGATCTTGCTTCTTAGGACCCTGGGTTATCCTGGATTATTAACACTCTGGGGTAAATATGCCAAAGAAAATATTTTATTTTACTTTCTCAACAAGGTAAATAATTCTAATTAAAAAACTGTAATACATGTATTGTTAACACCTGGGGGATAACATGACGGAAAGTTAGGTCAATTATTTATTATAATCAAAAAGAAGCGCTAAGCCACAAGGACTATACAGCAAAAAAAAAAGTTAGGTCAAAATTTTATTTTAGTAATATTCGAGGAAAAAAATGTCCTTTCGACAATGTAAATAAAGGTAATTATATATTAAAGAGTCGAATTTTGACTCAATGAATGTAAATTGGTGCACCTTGAATTTTATTATTCAAACAAAAACTGTGTCCGTCCTTTAAACTTTTACCTCGAGTATTTCACTCACCTGCCTCGTCTAACACGCCATATTCAACATTACAGTTGTCATTATGTCGGCTATATCTCATTAAACTCTCAACGTCCGGTTATCTAGGTAGACATGTTTAATTAACGTACCTGATATAGTTAAATATGGTAATGAAGGGAGTTAATGAAGTGCAGCGCCAGTAACACTGTGAACAACTGTCATGGCGACACACACTCTTGTTGGTGGTGTTAAGGGTCGTCATAATGTACACTTTATTGAACCCTCACTCTCAGCACTCACCGAAACTTTATTTAAACACAGATACAAATAAGTATAGTTAATAATATAATAATAATATCTTTATTTACTGCAGGTACATGTATAAGGTATACAGGTCTAGCTGACATCAATGACATACCATAACAATACCATAATCTGTATTATTATTACAATCAAGGGGAAGCGCTAAACCCGGAGAATTATACAGCGCCTGGGGGGGGGGGGGGAAGTCTGCCCGAAATGCCTAGCCATGCTAGGTGTCCTAGTGGCCCCCTCTGTAATTAGTATTTTAAAACATGTAAACCACACAACATCCAAAATCTGTAAACCTCGCATTGTAATCCTTATAGAGAATAAACTTGATTGATTGATTGATACTACTCTATAGAAAATTCTTTGTTATGCAGAACATTTCGGGCAAATTAAGTTAGTTTTGTCCCAGGATGCGACCCACACCAGTCGATTAACACCCAGGTACCCATTTTAATGATGGGTAAACATAGACAACCGGTGTAAGGAAACAGGTCCGATGTTTCCACCCCTTCGCCGGGAATCGAACCCGGCAGCGAGAGCTTTGCCACCAGGCCACTTAAGGAGTGTAGATGGTTCATTACCTTTGTAACTTATCGTGATTGTGACCAGATCTACCTGAGTTCATTACCTTGTAACTTGGTCATGATTGTGACCAGATCTACCAGATGAAGTTCAGTGTCGATAAGTGTAAGGTACTAGCCCTTGGTAATGAAAATAATGGGGCCCAGTCCCTGGGCCCCAAACAAGCTACAAAATAAATGTACCTCCGTAATCTTTTTACTACAGCCCACATGATGGGTATGGGGTTCTTAATAAAGATAAGATAAGATAAGATTTCGTTCGGATTTTTAACCCCGGAGAGTTAGCCACCCAATATAACCCAAGAAAGTCATCGAGGACTGTCTGACTTGTTTCCATTGTGGTCCTCAATCTTGTCCCCCAGGATGCGACCCACACCAGTCGACTAACACCCAGGTACCTATTTGCTGCTAGGTGAACATGACTACAGGTGTAAGGAAACACGTCGAAATGTTTCCACCCCTCCGGGAATCGAACCCGGGCCCTCCGTGTGTGAAGCGAGAGCTTCAGCCACCTATAATACACAGTATGGTTGAATTAGACACATGTGCAACTCTTGGGTATCTTTATTGAGGAAACGTTTCGCCACACAGTGGCTTCATCAGTCCATACAAAGGAGAAACTTGAAGAACAGGAGGAGAATGAGGTAATCAGTCCCTCAGCCTTGAGTCGATGTGGTCAGTCCATGGACTGTAAAGATACCCAAGAATTGCACATGTGTCTAATTCAACAACATGTCGGTTCTCTGAACCATTCATCTACAATACACAGTGTAAATAACCTATGATAACCCTCAAAAAATTCAATTACTTATCTCCATTGGGAGTCCATTAAACTGAGATGTAGATTTAATGTAACATAACCCAATAAACTCATTCCTAAGGTTTTAAGAATGCCCGCGTCACTGCCAAAATATACAATAATTTAAATAAATAAGTTTAAGTACAATTATCATATATTTTCCACGGGAAAATTTATTGCCTGACAAGACTGCAGTCCACTTGGGACAAACTTTTCTTAATAGTAATAAGATATATATTTTTTTGAAATTGTATTACATACTGTACTGTGTGAAATAATTGTAATATGAAATTACTAATACTTCTTGTTGAGTTGCTAACCCTCTGGGTTAAAAATACAAAAAATAGTCCGAACAACTCTTATGTTAGTAGAGGATGTTGCAATTATCAAAGTATAAGGCAAGATGACATCTAGAAAAGAAGAAACATACAAAGAGCTATCATCATCAAACAGCACCAACGGAGGTGAGTTGAAAGGGCCATTTAAAGTAGGACTCGGGGTGGGTGAAGGAAACTTCAAGAATTGCAACGGTGGCCCGGGGTCTGGTGACAAAAGTTCTCACTTTACATGGTGAGGGTCTGGGTTCGATTTCCAGCAAGGGTAGAAACACGGGGCGTGTTTCCTTACACCGGTTGTCCATGTTCACCCATCAGTATAAAATGGGTGCCTGGGTGTTAGTGGATTGGTGTGGGTCGCATCCTGGGACAAAACTGACCTAATTTGCCGGAAATGCTCTGCATAACAAGTGACTTTCTATATAGTGGTATGGTCGACAATCCAAATGAATTCTTTATGAATGAGACCCAAAATTTGGTCATCTCAAAAATCTCGGATAGTATCCTAGTATGAACACATGAGTCATCCCACACTAAGAACAACAGACATAGCCCCACTCCACAAAGGGGGCAGTAAAGCAATTGCAAAGAACTACGGACCGATAAAACTAACATCCCATATCACAAAAATCTTTGAGAGGGTTCTAAGAAGCAAGATCGCCGACCACCTAGATACCCATCAGTTACACAACCCAGGGCAACACGGGTTTAGAGCAGGTTGCTCCTGCCTGTCCCAGCTACTGGACCACTATGACAAGGTCCTGGATGCTATATTATTATTATTATAATCAAGGGGGAAGCGCTAAACCCAGAGGATTATACAGCGCCTGGGGGGGGGATGTGGAAGGCATTCAGGCTTGTGTACGAATGGTATATAATACCGACAAGATGAGAGTAAGACACATATGCAACATCTGGGTATCTTTATTGTAGACGTTTCGCCATCCAGTGGCTTTATCAATACAAATTCTAGGACATAACTTGAAGACAGTAGAACTATGTACAGAAGATGAGGTAATCAGTCCCTCAACCTAGGAGTAGGTGCGATCAGCACCATAGTCGTGGAGATTCTGAAGCAGAAGAAAGAATCCTGGCGCTTATATAGTAACGTCAGGTGAAGCAGACGAGGGCAAATTCACTGGTAGGCGGGATTCCCCAGTGGAAGTAGGTCCTTCCCGAAGAGATGGGTTAGTTCTAGAGGTAGTTGTCGTAGTCGTGAAGGTTATGTACATGTCCTCAGAATTAAGATTCCATGATGTTGCAGTGTCTGACAAGTTGTGTACGAATGGTATATAATACCGACAGGATTCTTTCTTCTGCTTCAGAATCTCCACGACTATGGTGCTGATCGCACCTACTCCTAGGTTGAGGGACTGATTACCTCATCTTCTGTACATAGTTCTACTGTCTTCAAGTTATGTCCTAGAATTTGTATTGATAAAGCCACTGGATGGCGAAACGTCTACAATAAAGATACCCAGATGTTGCATATGTGTCTTACTCTCATTCAGGCTTAATTCGGGGAACTGGAGCACAGATCCAATTCCCTAAATCAAGAGCCCCTCACCAACATCAAGGAACCTTCCTTGAGGGGGGCCCTGGATGCTATAGAGGATAAACAAAATACAGATGTAGTATACATAGACTTTGCAAAAGCTTTCGACAAGTGTGACCATGGTGTAATAGTGCACAAAATACATGATAAAGGAATAACAGGAAAAGTTGGTAGATGGATCTATAACTTCCTGACAAATAGAACACAAAGAATAATAGCAAACAAAGTGAAGTCTGAGGCAGCTAGGGTGAAAAGCTCTGTTCCACAAGGCACAGTACTCACTCCCATTCTATTCCTCATCCTCATATCTGACATAGACAGAGATGTCTTCCTTTGCGGATGACACCCGGATTGCCACGACAGTGACCTCCATCGAAGATACCACAAGACTCCAGGCAGACATAACCAAATCTTCAAATGGGCCACTCAAAACAATATGAGGTTCAGTGAAGAGAAATTTCAACCACTCAGATACGGAAAACTTGAAGAAATTAAAACTGTATCAGGGTATACGACAAATTCTAACCATACAGCAGAGCGAAAAAGTAATGTGAAGGACCTGGGAGTGATAATGTCAGAGGATCTCGCCTTCAAAGACCACAATAATGTATCTACCGCATCTGCTAGGAAAATGATGGGATGGGTAATGAGAACCTTCAAAACCCAAATCAACCAGAACGACGGAATATGACAGGGAACCCCTTCCAGAACTAAGGAGTATGACAGGGAAACCCATCCAGGACGATGGAATATGACAGCGAAACCCGTCCAGAACGATGGAAGATGACGGAAATACGTCTAGAACGATGGAATGTGACAGGGAAACTCGCCGAGAACAATGGAATATGATAGGGAACCCCGTCCAGAACGATGGAATATGACAGGTAAACCCGTCCAGAACGATGGAATATGACAGGTAAACCCGTCCAGAACGATGGAATATGACAAGGAAACCCGTCCGGAACGATGGGATATGACATGGAAATCCGTCCAGAACGATGGAATATGACAGGGAAACTCGTCCAGCGCGATGGAATATGACAAAAAAAATCCGTCCAGAACGACGGAATATGACAGGAAAACCTGTCCAGTACAATGGAATATGACAGGGAAACCCGTCCAGAACAATGGAATATGACAGGGAAATAAGTCCTGAACTATTAATTATGATAGGGAAACCCGTACAGATCAATGGAATATGACAGAAGATCCCGTCCAAAACAATGGAATATGACAGGGAAACCCGTCCTAAACTACTGACCTAAGCTAACCTAATGGAACCCGGACCCTCACTGTGTGAAGTGAGAGCTTTTGCCAGGCACATTGTGTACAAGTTGTCTCCACGTTGGTAAAGTAGAATAAATAAAGAGTAACACTCCCATTCTCACGTAACACACCATATTTAGAAGGAATACACTGAGTGAAGGCATACGAAAGGAATAATTTTCTAGAGTTACCCCCAGTAATACTACTGTGTACACAATTTCTTTGATGTTAAACTAGAGAAAACGTTATTTTTCCGACACTCCAACAATACGACTGCAAAAACATCTATAACAATAACAATAACAAATTGTTAGTTTATTCTACTGTGCGGTGTATTTATCATGTTTATATGTTACGTAGCGTGTTTATTATATAATTTTGAAAAAATATAGATTATCAAAATGTCTATATTAACGTAATATACGACATTTAATGCGCCTCGGTGATTATTATTGTTATATGATTATTATTATTATATGGCGTCGTCAAGATTAATAAACCACTCTTAGTGATTTTAATGTTTACCTGTAAACCAGCACACAGTGTAAGTTTACTTAGGTACAGGTGCACATGAATATAATTATCAGAGTATATATAAGTATGAAACAGCTTTAAAACACTTGAAATTTTGGAAAATGTTAACACTGGGTGTGGCGGTGACCGTCTTAGTCAGGTGACGGGAGCCGTATAGCAAGTTTTGGTCATAATTTGAAATGTCCATATTAGCGGAACGCCGTAAAGCGGGGCCCTACTGTATTCTTAATGCTAGACACTCACACAAAAGTTATATTTAACATTTTCCTTTAGGGTATTTTTTTTTTTAGCTAACTTACTAACTCTATAAGGAGGTAATCCAGTGTGTGATGGAATCCATAACAACTGTATATTCCTTCCCCTTCCTCTAGAATTTTGAATATTTATGTATGTATCTGGCTTCTACAATGAGTGTATTGTTAGTCATTATATCAAGCTCAGTGTTATAAGTGTGAGCTCAGAACCACTGTGCAGATTTATAATGTGTGAAATATTTGTAGATTTTCTTGAATAAAACTTATTGATTATTCCAAATAAAGCTTATCTTACCTTACTGTATACTGTATAATACAATGATATAAATAATATAGACATTTTTGTATTTGTTATAAATTTATATAATGTGTTTATTGTGCACCAGCTTTCATGAGGCCTAAACAAGAACATTGGACGGGTAGGATTTTTACTGCACCATGACCCTGGTGGGTTTAGTGCTTAGTTTTCATAATAATAATAATAATAATAATAATAATAATAATACTGCTCATGAAGGGTTTAAAAGCAGTTTACCTGGAGTTTACCTGGAGAGAGTTTCGGGGGTCAACGCCCCCGCGGCCCGGTCTGTGACCAGGCCTCCTGGTGGATCAGCGCCTGATCAACCAGGCTGTTGCTGCTGGCTGCACGCAAACCAACGTACGAGCCACAGCCCGGCTGATCAGGAACTGACTTTAGGTGATAACTTTTTTTTTTTAAATCTTCAAATACACACTATGTATACACTGCTGTATGACCCTTGCAGGTTTAGCACTTTTTTTATTATAATAATAATATGTATATGTTTACAGCCAAGTATTTTGTACAATGAGCACAATAGTTAAAATATTATTATTAATAATTCATATCTATGTGAATTATTAATAATATTGTAACATTTAATCAAATAAAAGTAATATTTAATCACATATTGTAATATTTAATCAAATAAACATTTAACTTTGTTTTATACATTTATTTTAATTTACATGTACTCACCTAATTGTGGTTGCAGGGGTTGAGACTCATCTTCTGGCCCCAGCACTGGTACATTGCTAAGTTTTTATTTAAAACAATCTACAACTGGCTTTTCAAACATAAGTTTAAATTTGTACCTGGGTTTTCAGGGCACACAGATGTTATGGGCATACATATACATATGTATAGTATATTATGTAAATTTAACCTGGGATAACCCTGTACATCAGACAATGTGACATTTCTAATGGGGTGAAAAAAATTATCTCATGGTTGAGTAGACATAAAAGGCATTATGTGGCTTTCACCTCTTGATTTGTAATGCTTTGTCACTGTCAGATGTACATGTGAACAAAGACATGAGAAGATTAGATTACTAAAGGGTTTGATAACCTAGTTAAATTAGGAAACGCCCCCTATTTAATCTCTCGAATTCTCAGTTATCCTAATGAACCACCCTAAACATTATATCATTTACTTTCAGCTTACAAGAAGGTAAGGTACCTATTCGAGTGCCTGGTAAAATTAGTAAGGAATGTGGAGAATTCTAAGAGAGATACAGTACTGTATGGAGGCAATGGGTCCTGTGTGGCACCTTCCTATGACTTGCCTTCCTAAAAAGAATCCACAATCCCTGGGACCTTAATATTTATTCTTACATTTAAGAGGTTCATTGTTATTAATTAAATAATTAACCATCAAGATGGATGCAATAATAATAAACTATTTTATGGGAAGCATTGGATAACAGCTACTCTATAGGGTATTGGCCTAAAAGTATTGTACTGTATGCAGTACAGTACTTGGATTGTACTGTACTAGGGTGTCCCATGGCCTGGTAGGCAATGTTCTTGCCTCACACACTTGAGTGTCCGTCGTTTGATCCCGGCATGGGTGGAAACATTGGGCATGTTTCCTTACACCTGTTGTCCTGTTCACCTAGCAAGCAAGTAGGTACCTGGGTGTTGGCTGACTGATATGGGTGGTATCCTGGGGGACAAGATTTAAGGACCCCAAAAATAATAATAATAATAATAATATCTTTTACTACAAGTACATGTACAAGGTATACAGGCCTACCTGACATCAATGACATACTACTGTATATAGAAAGCCACTTGTTATGCAGAGCATTTCGGGCAAATTAGGTCAGTTTTGTCCCAGGATGTGACCCACACCAGTCAACTAACTCCCAGGTACCCATTTTATTGATGGCTGAATATAGACAACCATGTAAGGAAACACGCCCCATGGTTGTACCTTCGCTGGGAATCGAACCCAGACCCTCGCTGTGTGAAGTGAGAGCTTTAGCCACCAGTCCTCGATGATGCAACGACTTTCTTGGGTTATCCTGGGTGGCTAACCCTCCGGGGTTAAAAATCTGAACAAAACCTTATCTTAGGATGCCAGAACGATGTTGACCACTAAACATACTTCAATTAATCAATCATTCAAGTTTATTCTCTCTAAAGATTACAATGTGGGGTTTACATATTATAGGATATTGTGTGGTTTACATATTATAAAATACAGAAGGGGCCACTATCACACCTGGCATGACTAGGCATTTCAGGCAGACTAAGATTAATTCAAACTCTCTATATTGGTACAGATTATGGAGCATGTTGATATTAAGGCTAAGTAACTGCATTACAGTTCGTAAATTTAGCAGTGTGAATGGTTTTGTCTTGGTACGATACATAGTTTCTATTGAAGCTCCTATATTGGAGTATCTCAGGCAAACTTATGACTAGTTTAAGATTCATTAGGTAATAGTTTTATTACGTATTTCTATGTTTATAGCCAATTGGGTAAAGTGTAAATGTGAATTGAGGGGAATCGCAGATATCGAGAGGAGGTCTAGGTTAAATAACAAAAAGGCACAATACCGTGACTGGAACGATACACAAATAACCCGCACATAAAAGAGAGAAGCGTACAACGACGTTTCGGTCCGACTTGGACCGACTTTGTCAATGGTCCAAGTCGGACCGAAACGTCGTCGTAAGCTTCTCTCTTTTATGTGCGGGTTATTTGTGTATGTGTGAGGTCTAGGTTGTTTTTTATGTGTGTATGATACAAGAGAATAGGTGGTTTTCATGTAGTTAGCTGACAGTGGGGTGTCAGGGAGATAAGATGTTTTCTAACGGTAGTTTTGAAAGTGATGATTGTGTCTGCAGTTCTAGAGTTTTCAAGTAGGGAGTTCCAGATTTTAGGTCCTTTTATGTACATTGAATTTTTGTATGGGTTTAGCCGGACACAGGGAATGTCAGAGATTTTTGTGCCTGGTGCTATATTTTTAGTTGTTAAAAAGGATGCGCCATAATGCTTCCTTACCGTTCACCTAACTCAGTCATAACTGGAAGTTCCCTTTTATAGCTAAAATGGCACAGAGTCAATCTACAAAGTACATGTATGTCACTAGAGCCTACATGATTACATCTTTATAGTCAGACATCAACACATTAGCTGTCATTTTCCTTAGCGATGCTGCTGCCTGTGGGAGTGCCATGACTCCCATCCTTCAGTCCGGGGCTTAGTTGCTAATTAGCAACATTAAAAACATTGAAAAAAGTGAAGTAATAACTTCACTGTTTTCACTGCTTATTGGTGTAAGCTCTTTGACTCGCTATCAAATATCCAGAGCTATAATAATCATCCTTGTTAATACATCCTAATATAATGGAGTGTGTAGCAGTACTGGTATGGACAATCCACCTTGTCCATTGTTGCAGGGTTCACTGGCATGATAGCTGGCAAACAGGAAACTATGCAGGACAAAGTAAACTCACAGGAAATTAGACAGTAGCATATTGGCTGAGGGTACATCAGGCAACGATAGTGTGGTGCAAGCAAAGCCAAGGACCTAGGAGGGCAAGATGCTGATCATCCAGCAGCTAGTGTGATAGTGAGACCAGAGCAGGGGCCTATGGCCTCTCTCTGACTCACAGCATGGGGAGTTCCATATCCAGGCACACAAAAATCATACCTTGGTGGGAAGTATGAAAAATACGGAGGGTAACCTGGTTACACTGAATACAGTATTTGTTTCACGCAATTACATCTTCAGTTGTAATTTAACTTAACCTTCTAATTGGCTGATTGAAGGAATCAAAGATGGCTATATTTATAAAAAATTGTCTCTGTTGCTATGAAGATATCACACACAATGACTGCTCTGTAGACTTCTCTTGTCATCATAATAACATGGGAAATGTAAAATTTTCCACAAGGAATAATCAAAGATGAGATACCCATTTATACCAGTAATGCATTATACACAGTATAAATTCATTCTTATATGATGGAAATAGGTGGACACTGTGTTTTGAGCATGGTACTCTGGGTGGGGCATTGTGGAAATCACAATGTACTATCAAAATAGAATACATGTACATTCCTTGTATGTCTGCAGTTGCAGTCTCCATTATGACTCCTCTGTGTTCTGTTAAATCAACTCTTAGCACTGTCCCTGATCCATCACAGAAGCACATGAGGACTTCCCTAACATCGCAGATTTTTAATTGTTCTGATGCCGATGAGGAGCCATCAGCATTTGCATGTGCATTTAACGTGGGCAAGTCAACCACTGACATCATTAAAAAAAGATTGCTGAAAGCACTGGGAGCTCTGTAATGCAGTCTATACATCTTAATGCTAAAATATCAACTATAGTAAGAAATCCATTGCTAGAGAAAATCCTAGCAGTGTGGAGTCAAAGACAAGAACCAGAGCAACTGAATGTTTGCTCTACTTCAGTCAGGATTAAGGCCTTGAAAATTTATGACTGCCTGCTACAAGATGAAGGTGATTATAAAGAGGGCAGGGTGCCACTGCAGGGAATTTAAATTAGCATTTATAATACAGTGTAGCTCATCCCTGACAATGCCTCTGGACTGAAAACACTAGCATGTCAACCCAAGTGTGAATGTCTTGTTCTGTTTCCCTGACATAACCTCCCCGATTCAGCCTCTTGATCAGAGAATTATTTTGACAGTCAAGGCCTACTATCTGAGGAGAATTTTCGCTGTATAGCCCTTGTGGCTTAGCGCTTCTTTTTTGATTATAATAATAATGAGGAGAATTTCCCATCTGCTGAAGGATGCTGACAGACTTAACAAGCCAACAATTTGTAAGTGGTGGAAAGCCTAAAATGTGAGTGATACAATCGACAATGTTAAGACCTCGTGGGACAAAATGAGGTCCTCTACCTTGAATGGTGCTCTGAGAACATTATTATGAACTTCAAGAACTTCCCAAAACTGTCCAAGAGTGTGTGTGAGAAGTTCTCACGTTGGGACTGAAGGTGGGTGAAAATTTCTCAGACCCTGTGGAGGAACACATTATGGAGCTTTTTGAATCCAATAACAAAGAATTAAAGTGTTGATGACCTGTTTGAGATTACTACAGCTAATACAGAAAAGGAGGATGCAGCACTTCTCATTGTAAAAGACATGAAGAAGCTGGCAGAATTGTTTGCAGAAGGTGAGAGACTTTCTGAATTTGTCATGGATATTGACCCTTTCCTGGAGAGAAGCCTAGAAATAAATCACATAAACAATTGTCTTAGTGCCTACAAGGTGCATACTTAGAAGTGATAAATGGCTAAGCAAACAGGAGCTCTTGAAAGTCTCCTTCACCCACCCTGAGTCCCACTCTAATTGGCCTTTTCACCTCTATTCCTCCATTGGTGATGTTTTATCCCTATGCTGTGGGGTGTTAAATTGAGTTTGCTTATGTGCCATGAGCCAAAAACACATCTTTTGCATAAAGCAAGGAAAACCTGTATATTTACTCTTCATTTGTACATGTGTAGTCTAGCAGTTACTAGTCAGTACAATCCTTATATTTATGGTACATACTGTACTTGCAACACTGATGATCAATAGTGCTGTGTATCACCAATATAGCACCTTGAATTTTATTTCTCTTATATACTTTGTTCTTATATTGGTAAAATAGAACATCACTAGTGATATGGGGATGAATTTAGTAAAGAACTTTCCACCTGCATGAAAAATAGGCAGTAAGCTGGCATATAGTGAATGAAAGACAAAGACAGAAAAATGATGTTTAACTTAGCGAGAACTTTATCAAGATACCAAGTTAACTTTTATCAAGTTTATCAAGCTTTTTACTTTTTAAGCTATCCAACCTACTCTAGGTCCCATTGAAGTTAGACAATAGGACCATTGTAATAGATAAATACCACAGAGAGAGAATTGCATTGTAGTGTGTTGCAATTAATACATTATTTGTTTTATTTACAGATACAGTACCTCTCTCTGGATTGAAATACAGTACAAAATTCACTTAACAATAGAGAAAATTTCTAGTGAACCATCAACATTGGGAATATTTACATTCCACTACATGTGTGTAGTACAATAATTATTGAAATATCATCCACACTTAAATAAAGATAAAATATGGCTGGCTCATGTCAGATGTTTGTAATGATACTGGGCATCTTTTCCTGTGTCAGTGGAGAACTACATTCTTTCAGTGCAATAAATACAGAAAAGAAACAAGACCTCTTCCAAGAAGCAAGAGATGCCAGCAACCCCTGTCCCTGTAGTGATCCTCTACTATGCATGTCACTTGCAAATGCTGCACAAAGAAATTCATTAGCTCCACATGTCCAGAAATTCTTAGATAAGTCACAGAAAAATGAAGTAAGTATCACATTAATGTTTTAATATCTTTTATAATTAGACCTATCATTGTGATTAACATTCATAATAAACAAATGTAAATAAGTCACTTGGTGATTGAGATTTGAATTTTCTGGTAATTCTAAGACTGCTAGATCTTAAAATGCAGATCTCAGTCTCTCCATTGCAATGTCTATCATTCTTTGGTGGTACATTAATTGTGCAAGTTGTGTAAGAAAGGTATAAAATACTGACAATATGAAAGTTAAGACACATGGAACAAGATTCCATGATGTGTCTTGACTTTCAATTGTGCAAGTTGACCACTTAGCAGTGATATCTGTCTGTACAGTACTGTAATTGATCTAGTGGCATAATTACTGTTAGCATAGCATATAGAATTCACTATATACTACTGTACTGTATTTTGCAGCTACTACTTTGTCAAAGAATAAATTAGGCTACAGAACAGTATAATAAATATCTGATGAAATGCTGAATGTCGATACTATTCAGTAATGTGTAGAGCAAAGGCAGGTGTGTATTTCTCAAGCTCAACCTGGTGTATTGTATAATAATATTAATATAATAACAGAGTATAGTGATACAGATACTTTTAAATGGATGTGAGGCATGGGTTTTGAATGGTGCAGCAAGCAGGCAACGTTGTATGCTTGTTAAAATAAAGAGTGTACAAGACTAACTCATTAATTTTCAATCTAGGTTTTCGCTTTTGTTCTTGAATGTGATGCATCTGTTTGGGGAAAGTTCAACTGGTCTAAACTGTCAACTATTGCTCTTGCTGGCTTTTATGATGTGGACCTCCTTTGTCATGCTCATGAAAATGGAGTCAAAGTTGTGAGACTAGGTAAGAACTTTCTTAGTCTTTTTTTTTTTCCTTTGTCCCTCCCATTCTATTCCCATTTTCTGGTTTGGAAAATGCAATATGCTTCTAAAAGAATTTTTATGAATTGAATTAATATCAAGCAAGGTGTGGTATAATGAAATGCTTTACTTGTTAAAATTCTTCCTAAACACACATGTTCATATACTACATACATTAGTACAGATGACAGTTTGGCTTGGTGTAAACTCTGTTATATTAACTGTCAATGTGGTAGTTTAAATTGCTCACTGTATAAGACAAACTAAGGCAGTGTATTATAATGCTTACCTCTAATTTTCATTATCATAATAGAAGCTACATAGAATGCAAGTCATATTTTTTTGTTATAGGAAGTTTTACACCTATAGGATTTAAAATCAAGCAACTTGTAGGAGCAGTGTCTGGTAAAGTATAATATGAAAAACATCATGTCAAATGTCCCAGTAAACAGTGACTTTCAGTCGATGTGGTCAGTCCATCAATCTTGAATAGAAGGAGTGACCACATTGACTCAAGGCTGAGGGACTGATTACCTCATTCTCCTCCTGTTCTTCAAGTTTCTCCTTTGTATGGACTGATGAAACCACTGTGTGGCGAAACGTTTCCTCAATAAAGATACCCAAGAGTTGCACAGTTGTCTAATTTATCAACGTGTAGGTTCTGTGAACCATTCATCTACATCTAATGCATAAAGTGAGGGATACCTGTACTATTTACCATATCAAATATTTGTTTGCACTTGTATCCAGTATGTACATATGCATGGACTGTATCTTTAGTACTGTATATCAGGGGTGGCTCTAGAAGTTTTATATAGGAGGGGCTTGAGGACAGCAATCTAGTTGGAAAAGGGAACAAGGGACTTTGTCTTGAAACAGCATTTTATTGTTGTTGTTATTATTACAGTACGTATTATTATTTTTGGGGCTTTAGGGGCTGACTGAATTTTGGGAGCTTCATCTTCCCCTTTGCGATGCACCTGTTGCATTTATATTGTAAATTGAATGTCCCCTGTATGTGTGACAGGCAACATCCCTACAAGTGATCTTCCCAATGCTACTGCACGGCACAACTGGGTAGACTTACAAGTTAGTGATGCTGCTTTGAATTTCTTAGATGGAATTAACATTGACTTTGAAGATGTTGTTGATCCAGACTCTCCAGAGCAAGAAGGACTGAGTAATCTGGTGCAAGAAACAGCAGAAGAGTTTCATAAACTTTTGCCAGGGTCAGAGGTCAGTGGAAGATTTAGACTTAGTTACAAATTTATATACCAAGTGATATTTTTATTTAATCAAATAATCACTATTTTATATGACTAGCTTTTATCACTCACTCATGTGTTTCATTGTGATGCCACTTATACCTGGTTGACAGGGATTTATATATGGTAGTATTCAAAGATACTAGTTATTGATAAGAGACTTTAATTCAGTGCTCTTCCTTCAAGAGAGGTGCTTTGATGTTGGTGAAGGATTTAGTCTAAAATGTTAAGTAATCCTCCCCTCCCCTTCCTCAAATCAAACCTAATTATCCTCATATCTGGATATACTAGTGTTACCTTACTTCATTACTTATTTTGGGTATTGTATGTATGAGGGGTTCCAAAATTACTGAAAATTCTGAATGGTGTAATAAAAATGGAAAATATCTCTTAACCAGAAAAACAATCTGAATTTAGAAAGAATATCCTAGTTAAAATTCAGTTTCTTTGCCTTATCTTGAGTGAGGTGAATGTGTGGTCATGTTGCACTCATCAACTTTTGGTGTGGTTCTTACAAAGTTTAATAATTAGCATTATTTTTCATCCATCATCATCATCATCGTTAGCTAAAAAAAAAGCATGTATATTTTCTTCCTCACAGTCCAACAATAAAATTTTGTGTTGCATTTGGTTATTACAGTACTCACAGAGGAATTTCTAAGCAATAAGTATGAGTAAAGATTATGGGTAGCCCTTGTGAAGGCAAAGAGCGAATCAGTTAAAGATTCTAAAATAATGAAGCAAAGAGTGAATCAATAAAGATTTTAACCCTTAAACTGTCCACACGTAGATATACGTTCACGTGAGGTGGGCTCCAAACATAGATCAACGTTTTATTTTTCATTCCTTCAAATTTGGTGCGATAGGCCTGAGTCGCCGAGACATGAAAGAATGGGTCTGTGCACTCATTGTGCGCACTATGAAAAAAATTGGGGACTACTTAGTACCTTGTGGGAGCACCAGTTCAACTGAGCACCACTAGAGCAAATAGCATGGCAAACACCAGTGATTCACTGATGTCATGTCATATTAACACTCACATTTTAAGAGGAAAGTAAAAATAGGTTAGATAAATGCATGAGTGGGTGTGGGTGGGTAGTTAGACCTGACTAGCTTGTGCTACTGGGTCAGATGTCGTCCTCCTTCTTTCAGTGGATGTGACCTAACTAGGTGGGTCATTGGTCTAAGCTGGGAGGTGACATGGACCTGCCTTGCATGGGCCAGTAGGCCTGCAGCAGTGTTCCTTCTTTCTTATGTTCTTATGTATTTGGCTGGCTTTGGCTGTCTTTGTCTGTATCTGTCTATATCTCTGTCTTTCTATATCTCTGTCTGTATCACCTTCTATTTGTATCTTGTCTATGTCTCTCACATGTATACTCAAATACAGTTATTATACATAATGTAAATTACCTAGGATAACCCAAAAATTCCAGGCCAAGTGCTATACATTGTTTGTAGATATAAGACATAAATAAACATGATGCAAGTAATAGCAGTGTCACTTGCTCAGCAATCAGGAAGCGGCTCATACACCACAAACCAACAGGTTTACTAGCCGCTCCCTGAGACAGAGACAAGCAGATGGAAAGACAGACACACACAGGTAGACAGAAAGATAAGCAGAACTAGACAGACAGATAAGCAGAGCTAGGCAGACAAACAGATAGATGTACAGATAGACAGATACAGGCAGACAGATAGACTGACAGACAGACATACAAAGACATGTTTGTGTGCAAGAGTAAAAATATATAAAGGCAAGGTTTTCCCTTCCAGCAGCGCACATTCATCAAATGTCACTTGTTATCTGACGTTGTCATAAGACCATTATTCAAGGAGTTCATATTATACTCCAGGCACACACAGAAGACAGAAAGATAAGCTAAACTGGACAGGTAGATAAGCAGAGCTAGGCAGATAGACAGATGTACAGATAGACACGACAGATAGATGTACAGATAGACAGGCAGACAGACAGACATACAAAGACATGTTTGTGTGCAAGAGTAAAAACATATAAAGGCAAGGTTCCCTCCAGCAGGGCACATTTATCAAATGTCACTTATCTGACCCTTGTCATAATACAATTCTTCAAGGAGGATCATACTCCAACATGTCTAAAACATTGCTGGGACCTATAAATACTTTGTAGTATATATTTCTAGACAATAGTAAATAACCAGGGCAGGTGAAAATGTTCACATGTCAGTGTGATTGTTACAATTTGAGTACTATTTCAGAACAAAGACTGATTATGAAATCACAAGAACTATTATAAATTGTCATTATCAGAACATAGAAATTATATAAATTAAAATAAAAACGAGGAAAAAAGGTAAATCGGCAACACTTCTGCAAGCGGCAAGACTGGATGTAGCCATCAGGTGAGCATCCAGAGACAACTTCGTGGTCTTATATCTCAGTAAGTACCAGTCTTAATTTTTTTTTTGTCTTATACCACACAGAAAATTGCCCTCTTTAATTAAAAAAAAAAAAAATCAAAATATTTGGAGTGCCACGCAGGTGAACATAGATCTACGTTTGGACAGTTTAAGGGTTAAAACCATAATATAATTCATATTACTGCATTGTATTGTACTATGTTACCATACTGTACTTAGTCTATATTCATTATGACTCCCAGAGCCTAGCTCACAGATAATACCATAATATACATGAGTTCTAGATTTAGAGCCCAGCTGTGGAGAAGAGTTTTAGGATATTAATGCATAGCTCTTGGTCAAAAGTCCATGAATTCAAAACTCACAAGTAAAGACAGCATATGATAATTTATCATTAGTGAAGCCTTGTATATGATCATTTGATATCTGCACTATGCTAACAAGATTTCTTTATAATGCAACAAAAGCAAGAAGGATAGACATACACATAAAGGCTGTCATTATCCAAGCTGGACATCTTAATATTTTGCACTAGTAGGCTTGCTACATTTCTGTTTCTGTCTCAAGAACATGTAAGATGGTGAGTAATTCTTATAAGCTTTTACTTTCATTCAGTTTACTTTCATTCAGGGGTCAATGCCCCCATGGCTGGTCCATGACCAGGCATACTTTACGTTCCTGTGTGTTTCCTAATGTTGTGTTGTGGTTCCCATTTCTGTAGTATTTCCTTACCAATTTAATAGGTTTTAGTAAGCCTGGTCAGAGATTGGCCCATAGGAGTGATGATTATTGGAACCATCAACAGATATACTGACAGATATCAAATACTATACTCTGCCTTGGTGGAGAATAGCAACAAAATTACAAATAATACTTACTCATTCTTTATAGTTCCAGTGTGCTTTCAGCATCTTTGTCTTGATTTTTATATTCAGAATTAAATTATTCCTTCAGATTGAATCTTGTTTACCTACCTTGAATAACTTGCTGTAGTTTCACCATCTCTATTCAGTTACTCCATAAAACTGAAGATCATTGAACCAGTTGAAGTAATATGTAATTCATTTCTAACCGAATCTTGTTTATTATACAGTATTTGCATACACCTTTTTATTTTGATTGCTCACACAGCTTTGACCATGGCAGGTATCATTTGATGTAGCATGGTCAGCAAATGGGATTGATGGACGGTATTATGACTACAAGCAAATTGCAAACTACAGTGATCTTATTTTCATCATGGCATATGATGAACAAAGTCAGATATTTGATGGCCCATGCACTGCCAGGTAAACAAGGTGCTCATTATGTAGTATTTGTGAAGGTATGATAATAAGGTTAGTTGTAATTTCTCTGTATAATTATTTCATAACTGAGGAAAACTATTCACTTTTGGAAGTCATAGGCATCCTAAGATACGTTGCTATCTACCTCAAACAGCACTACTTACATTGTACTATGCTCTAATCCATCTTTACCTCACCTATTGTTTTTGTGCCTGAATCTACTACATTTGATTACCTAAAACCAATAATAACTCAACAAAAAGCTGTTGTAAGAACGAATACTTAATCCAGTGCCAGACAACCTGCTTCCCCACTCTTCAAAATTTAAACTTATTTAATATGTACTCCTACTACAGCCTGGTCAACCAGGCTGTTGCTGTTGGTGGCCCACACCCCCACATATCCATCACAACCTGGTTGATTTGTGTAAAAATTCATTACACATTAAAGGCCCTAAAATCCAGAACTCCTTGCCTGAAGTTTCTAAAGGTCCCCTATCTGCCAGTTGCTTCAGAGCTATTGTTAAAAATTGCCTCATCTCTGTAATGTAATCTTGACAGCAATATGCAAAACTTATTCTTATCCAATTCTGTCCTTGTTTTTCTTCCAGCCTTCCTTCAGCTCCCATATATAATTAGTACAGTAACATACATTTCCCATTATTTGTATTGTGATTTAGTTAAGTAACTTGCTGTAGTTTCACCATCTCTATTCAGTCATTCCATAAAACTGAAGATCATTGAACCAGTTGAAATAATACGAAATTCATTTCTAATTGACCATTTGTCATTTGCTACCTTTCTTATACTTATGATTGTAATTACCTACACAAGCAGTCTTACATAATAGCTATGTCTAGCTCTTAAGTAGCATGTAAGCCTTAAGATAAGTTGCCCAAAATGCACTGCATAATTAATGGCTCTCTTTTATGCTTACTGATTCATGTATCTACATTATTTGTATAACTCAGAGAAATAAATCGTTGCCATTTGAGTGTAGCTTATTTCTAAATTACTCCAGGCATGATACTGTGGCTTTTATTCATGATGAGGTTTCTTAATCTCAACTTGGCAATACAGTAATTTGCAACTGGGATTGATAAAATGCTGTAGTATTAAAAAATCTATTATTATTATAGGAAGCACAAAACCTGTAAGAGGCCATAAAGTGTCTAGGAGTGGGGGGCACAAGCATCAAGGCACGTACATCCCTTGAAGGAATTAAAAGGCTTAATCATCTATGCAAAATATTAGGTAGTGTAGTACATTAGTATCATTAGTTTTACTTTTATAAAAAAAAAAAATTACATCAGTTAAGCTTATTTCAATATTTTTGTCTCAATACAGACCAAACTCTGGAATCTACAAGACAGCTAAAGGCATTCAGACATACTTGGATCTGGATATTCCAGCAAATAAAATGATATTAGGAGTACCTTGGTATGGTTACAACTACCCATGCATTTTACTGGACCAGGTAGGAAAAATACTTTTCTAAATCTTCATTCTAAAAATAAGATTAGTTCTAATTTGGTATTTACATTTATTTGGTTACCAGTTAGTAATGTCATACTAATAAAGCTGTTGTTTTATATTATCACAAATGTGTAATTACTTTTTTTTTTAACAAGTCGGCTGTCTCTCACCGAGGCAGGGTGACCCAAAAAGAAAGAATATCCCCAAAAAGAAAATACTTTCATTATCATTTAACACTTTCACCTCACTCACACATAATCACTGTTTTTGCAGAGGTACCCAGAACACAACAGTTTAGAAGCATATATGTATAAGGATACACAACATATCCCTTCAAACTGCCAATATTCCAAACCCCTCCTTTAAAGTGCAGGCATTGTACTTCCCATTTCCAGGACTCAAGTCCGGCTATATAAAAATAACTGGTTTCACTGAATCCTTTCACTAAATATTACCCTACTCACACTCCAATAGCGCGTCAGGTCCCAAATACCATTCGTCTCCATTCACTCCTATCTAACACGCTTACGCACGCTTGCTGGAAGTCCAAGCCCCTCGCTCATAAAACCTTCTTTACCCCCTCCCTCCAACCTCTTTGAGGACAACCCCTACCCCACCTTCCTTCAAACAACAACATTATAATTTTTTTTTTTTTCAACAAACCGGCCATATCCCACCAAGGCAGGGTGGCCCAAAAAGAAAAACGAAAGTTTCTCTTTTTAAATTTAGTAATTTATACGGGAGAAGGGGTTACTAGCCCCTTGCTCCCTTATAATTAATTATAATTAATTATTTATATATGAGGAGTGAGCTACAACTTTTTACTCTTAACTTTCAAATGACTCCTGGAACTTACCTTTCATCATAAGAATGGAATGTTTTCAACCTGGAACCAGGAGATTTGTTCCCATTTTTCCATTAATATGCCAGAAAAGTGTGTAACAAACACACATGGCAGAAAATGTTCCATACATACCATCGAAGAGGTATAGAATAATGCTGCTGATCGGTCATTACTGCATGATTAGTGTATAATTGTACAGCATGCAAAATTAGCAAAAATAAAAAAAAAAAAGAATAAGAAGAAAATTGTCAAAGTGGGAAGTCTGAATGTGCGTGGATGTTGTGCAAATGATAAGAGATGATTGTGGATGTAATGAATGAGAAGAAGCTGGATGTCCTGGCTTTAAGTGAAACAAAGCTGAAGGGGGTGGGAGAGTTTCAGTGGAGAGGAATAAATGGGATTAGGTCAGGGGTTTCAAATAGAGTTAGAGCTAAAGAAGGAGTAGCAATAATGTTGAAGGATAAGATATGGCAGGAAAAGAGGGACTATAAATGTATTAATTCAAGGATTATGTGGAGTAAAATAAAGGTTGGATGTGAAAAGGGAGTTATAGTAAGTGTATATGCACCTGGAGAAGAGAGAAGTGTAGAGGAGAGAGAGAGATTTTGGGAAATGTTGAGTGAATGCATGGGGAGTTTTGAACCAAGTGTGAGAGTACTTGTGGTTGGGGGTTTCATGCTAAAGTGGGTAAAAATGTGGTAGAGGGAGTAGTAGGTAAATTTGGGGTGCCAGGGGTAAATGAAAATGGGGAGCCTTTAATTGAGCTATGTGTAGAAAGAGATTTGGTAATAAGTAATACATATTTTATGAAAAAGAGGATAAATAAATATACAAGATATGATGTAGCACGTAATGAAAGTAGTTTGTTAGATTATGTATTGGTGGATAAAAGGTTAATGGGTAGGCTCCAGGATGTACATGTTTATAGAGGGGCAACTGATATATCGGATCATTATTTAGTTGTAGCTACAGTTAGAGTAAGAGGTAGGTGGGACAAGAGGAAGGTGGCAACAACAAGTAGGAGGGAAGTGAAAGTGTATAAACTAAGGAAGGAGGAAGTTCGGGCGAGATATAAGCGACTATTGGCAGAAAGGTGGGCTAGTGCAAAGATGAGTAGTGGGGGAGTTGAAGAGGGTTGCATGAGTTTTAAAAATGCAGTATTAGAATGTGGGGCAGAAGTTTGTGGTTATAGGAGGGTGGGGGCAGGAGGAAAGAGGAGTGATTGGTGGAATGATGAAGTAAAGGGTGTGATAAAAGGGAAAAAGTTAGCTTATGAGAGGTTTTTACAAAGCAGAAGTGTTATAAGAAGAGCAGAGTATATGGACAGTAAAAGAAAAGAAAGGTGAAGAAAGTGGTGAGAGAGTGCAAAAGGAGAGCAGATGATAGAGTGGAAGAGGCACTGTCAAGAAATTTTAATGAAAATAAGAAAAAAATTTGGAGTTAAACAAGTTAAGAAAGCCTAGGGAACGTATGGATTTATCAGTTAAAAACAGAGTAGGGGAGTTAGTAGATGGGGAGAGGGAGGTATTAGGTAGACGGCGAGAATATTTTGAGGAACTTTTAAATGTTGAGGAAGAAAGGGAGGTGGTAATTTCATGCACTGGCCAGGGAGGTATACCATCTTTTAGGAGTGAAGAAGAGCAGAATGTAAGTGTGGGGGAGGTACGAGAGGCATTACGTAGAATGAAAGGGGGTAAAGCAGCTGGAACTGATGGGATCATGACAGAAATGTTAAAAGCAGGGGGGGATATAGTGTTGGAGTGGTTGGTACTTTTGTTTAATAAATGTATGAAAGAGGGGAAGGCACCTAGGGATTGGCAGAGAGCATGTATAGTCCCTTTATATAAAGGGAAGGGGGACAAGAGAGATTGCAAAAATTATAGAGGAATAAGTTTATTGAGTATACCAGGAAAAGTGTACGGTAGGGTTATTATTGAAAGAATTAGAGGTAAGACAGAATGTAGGATTGCGGATGAGCAAGGAGGTTTCAGAGTGTGCAGGGGATGTGTAGATCAAGTGTTTACATTGAAGGATATATGTGAACAGTATTTAGATAAAGGTAGTGAAGATTTTATTGCATTTATGGATTTAGAAAAGGCATATGATAGAGTGGATAGGGGAGCAATGTGGCAGATGTTGCAAGTATATGGAATAGGTGGTACGTTACTAAATGCTGTTAAGAGTTTTTATGAGGATAGTGAGACTCAGGTTAGGGTGTGTAGAAGAGAGGGAGACTATTTCCCAGTAAAAGTAGGTCTTAGACAGGGATGTGTAATGTCACCATGGTTGTTTAATATATTTATAGATGGGGTTGTAAAAGAAGTAAATGCTAGGGTGTTCGGGAGAGGGGTGGGATTAAATTATGGGGAATCAAATACAAAATGGGAATTGACACAGTTACTTTTTGTGATGATACTGTGCTTATGGGAGATTCTAAAGAAAAATTGCTAAGGTTAGTGGATGAGTTTGGGAGTGTGTAAAGGTAGAAAGTTGAAAGTGAACATAGAAAAGAGTAAGGTGATGAGGATATCAAAGATTTAGATAAAGAAAAATTGGATATCAAATTGGGGAGGAGTAGTATGGAAGAAGTAAATGTTTTCAGATACTTGGGAGTTGACGTGTCGGCGGATGAATTTATGAAGGATGAGGTTAATCATAGAACTGATGAAGGAAAAAAGTGAGTGGTGCGTTGAGGTATATGTGGAGTCAAAAAACGTTATCTATGGAGGCAAAGAAGGGAATGTATGAAAGTATAGTAGTACCAACACTCTTATATGGGTGTGAAGCTTGGGTTGTAAATGCAGCAGTGAGGAGGCGGTTGGAGGCAGTGGAGATGTCCTGTTAAGGGCAATGTGTGGTGTAAATATTATGCAGAAAATTCGGAGTGTGGAAATTAGGAGAAGGGTGTGGAGTTAATAAAAGTATTAGTCAGAGGGCTGAAGAGGGGTTGTTGAGGTGCTTTGGTCATTTAGAGAGAATGGATCAAAGTAGAATGACATGGAGAGCTTTTAAATCTGTAGGAGAAGGAAGGCAGGGTAGGGGTCGTCCTTGAAAGGGTTGGAAGGAAGGGGTAAGGGAGGTTTTGTGGGCGAGGGGCTTGGACTTCCAGCAGGCGTGCATGAGCATGTTTGATAGGAGTGAATGGAGACGAATGGTATTTGGGACTTGACGATCTGTTGGAGTGTGAGCAGGGTAATATTTAGTGAAGGGATTCAGGGAAACCAGCTATTTTTATATAGCTGGACTTGAGTCCTGGAAATGGGAAGTACAATGCCTGCACTCTAAAGGAGGGGTTTTGGGATATTAGCAGTTTGGAGGGATATGTTGTGTATCTTTATATGTATATGGTTCTAAACTGTTGTGTTCTGAGCACCTCTGCAAAAACAGTGATTATGTGTGAGGTGAAAGTGTTGAATGATGATGAAAGTATTTTCTTTTTGGGGATTTTCTTTCTTTTTGGGTCACCCTGCCTCGGTGGGAGACTGCCGACTTGTTAAAAAAAAAAAAAATGACGAGATACATAAAAATTGTGTGCAGTGCAAAAATAGTGAAGTGATGTTTAGAAAAGATTTGCCGTCCCTAACTTTTTAAAACAACTAGATGAGGGGCACAGGGAAAACAACTGGGTAATTTTTTTTGGGAGCATTTTTTTTTACTACGGGCTTTTCAGTTACTAAAAAAAAATAGGGAAAATGAAAGTTTTGGGCATAACAGTTTGAGGGATCACCTTTTCAACTGTAAAATGTGTAATATTTTGGGGTGTCAGTCCCTCAACCCTTGAAAGGGTATTGGTCCAACATTGTCATGCCTAAATTGGAACCTACTATATACGGCAACAAAAAGGGAAGCTAGCTGACTAGTGAAGTGGGCCATCCCAATAAGTTAGGCAAAAATTGATTTGTAAAGAATTTCTTGAGTTAAATTTTCATTAGTAGTGTTTTAAATTCTTGTCTTTAAATGATAAATCAGTTATACCTTTTTCTCATTCATGTAACATTGCCAATGCTTTTCACTGTTAATAATAAAAAAGTAATAAAAACTAAGTGTAAACCCATAAGGGACTTTTATTATTTTCGCATTAAGAGCACAGTTTTACTATTTATAGCTTTAATTTAAAATATTTTTTTTTTTTCTTTATTTATTTGCATTACCTTACAAAAAAAAATTTTAATAAACTTATTAATATGTTTTATCTGCTTTTAGTGAGCATTTAATGTTTACAAAATACACCCTCTACTTTGAGGAAATTCCATTCCGAGGGCCAACGCATGATGCACTGGAAAGCATTTTCCCTTATGCTATATGTTGCAACCCGTGAAAAATTTAAATGAAATTTCCCACTGGGTGAAAACTCTTTTAAGCCCATGGTAAATATAAAAGGTAAACAGTTTTTTATTAGTTTAAAATTTTTGTAATTACCTTTTTAAACATGGACCCCCGCCTTACGATCACTTCCAACTCAAACAATTAGTAAGTGTTTTTTTGTAAGTGTTTTTGTACTGTTTTTTGGGGGGGTCTAAAACAGACAAATTAATTTAATTTTCCTTTGGGGAACAAATTTTTCTGTAACGGCAACCCGAACAGACTTCGGGAAGGAATTAATATCGTAAGAGGGGGGTCCACGTATTATATAATATATTCGTGAGTATCCCACCCTTTTTTTTTTATATATTTCGTGTGGGATCCCACCCTTTTTTTTAAATTTTTTGTATGCACCCGTCATTTCTGAGTCTTACATTTTGTAACAAACCCCTACTCTGGGCCCTTTTACCCCCAAATTCCCTTAACCTTTTTAAAGGGCGGGCTCCAGCCCAAAACCCCCCTTCCCCAAACCCCCCCCCCCGTAAAAACCCCCCTTTCCTTCCCCCAAAAAAAAAAACCCCCCCCCCTCAAAAATTTTTTTAAAACCCTTTTCCCTTTAACAAAACCCCCTTTATCAAAAAAAATAAAACCAACCACTACCAAAAAAAAACCCTTTTCAAAGTTCCCTTTTCAAAAGCCCTTTTTCAATTTTTTTTAAAAAAAACATTTTGGGGGGAACAAAAAAAAACTTTTTTCGTTTTTTTAAACCCCCTTAACCTCCTTCAAACCAAATTTAAAAAACCCCTTTTTCCCCCCCTTTTTTTTTTTTTTAATTTTTTTAAAAACCCCCCCCCCCCCTTTTTAAAAACGGGAAAATTTTTAAACCCCCCACCTTTTTTCTTCCCAATTTCACTTTTTTTTAAAATTTTCCCTTTTAAAAAATCCCTCCCCCCTTTTTTTGGCAACCTTTCCATTTGGGGGAAAACCCCAACTTTCAAACCCCCTTTCGCCAAAAGAAACCCAAAAAAAAACACCAAAAAACCAAAAAATTTTTTCAACCTTTTTCCAAACCCCCCCCCCGATATTTTTTTAAAAAAACGAAAGGGAAAAAAAACCAAAATTTTTACGGCTGATAAAAACCGGAAAATTTAAAAATTTCAAACTAGGTTCTGGGAAAAAAAACCCCAAATGATTTTAAAACCCCCACATGGGGGGCCTTTTCCTTTCCCCCCGGGGGGGAAAAACCCATCAAAAAGGGGGGACATTCAAAAATTTTAAAGGGGCCCCCGCCCGGGAATGCCAAAAAAAAAAAAGCCAGTTTTGAGCATATTATTACTACTAAATAATCATTATTGTAGAAGGGGATATATTTCTGATATCATGAGTGCATAATGTAGCAGAGGATTTTCTTCAAAGTTTGTTATTAAGCATCACTCCTTAATCCTCCTTTCAAGGTATGTTCTTGTTCTATGTTAGCAGGACATGCTCACTTGATGATTTCCTTTTGTTTTAGCCTTTATTGTGATATGTTATTGAGTATTCATATCTGATTCCTTGTTTCCTCTCAAGAACATGTCAGAGAAAGGTCATCATGCTTATGAGAAATGGGTTTTAAATTTCAAAACATTCCTTTCATCTTCAATTTCATTCAGTATTTTAAATAAAATTCCCTTTTGAAGGACAATCAGGGTCAAGACCGTCAAATGCGATATGATGATGGACAGAGTCTTCTTTACAAGTACATGCTGGCCATAATGACTGGAATGCGTGGTGTTGGCATGTGGACGGCCAACTTTCTTGATTATTCAGCAACGGATGAAGCTATTGCTCAACAGGAATTGATGTGGAGTCTGTTACCATAAATTGTTATAACCTTTTATTGTAGTAAATATCTGTATCTTGAATGCCTTATTTTCTCTGGGAATTTTGCCTCCACAAAAAGATGATTTTTGTATAGAAATTACGAATTGTTTTGATGAAAATTAAACCTAATATATGATTACTGATAGTACAGTGTATAATAAAGCCTGTGAAATTTCAGTGATTATTGTCATCTGATAAGTGTGACTGAGTTGTAATAAGAGGTTATTATAGCTCAACTTGATGTTGGAGAATAAGCAAGATAACACTTATGGAGGGCTTCAGGGAAATAAGTTAACTAAACTTGAGTCCTGGAAGTGGGGAAATACAGTGTCTGCACTCTGAAGAAGGGGTGGGGACATTGCAATTTGAAGAGTCATTTGGAATTGTGATGTCTGTTCCCTTCTGGGACCCTTGTAGGTTTAGTGCTTCTTTTGATTATAATAATAATAATAATAATAATGTGCCCTTGTGGCAAGACAGCCAGTGAATAAATGAAGAGTTTCCTTTTATTTTGGGTCACCTTACCTCAGTGGGAGATGACTGATAAATTTAAAAACAAAAACTAATAATGATAGCATAATGTGGGAGTTGGGCAGATAAGAGCCTCATACTGTAAGTAATATCAAAAACTTTGTGTTCTCTTTATCAAATATAAATGTGTTGCACATTTAGCACCAGGCAATGTTTTACTCGTAATATGCATATAGTACTTTGCAATTTCTTCCTTTGTAGGAGAAAATTCTAGGGATATTGTGTTATCAGTTAACAAACTCAGTACTATATTAGGGACAGGGCCTCCCACTTATAACCTTGTTGTGTTCTGATTATTTTTTTTCATCTTGAGTGTTTGGAACCTGGAACCTATTTTCCCATAGAGCCATGTTACAATTGGAGATGAGTTTCTGAAATTGAGTTATGTACCACAACTTTTCGAAAAAAAAAAAGGAACAGAAGGTTTTTTAGTTCTTAAATCATCAGTATTAATAATGTTGTTGCTTGTTGATCTAGAAATGTGCAGAGAAGGTTCATGTTGCCCTGCTAGGCCTAGTTGGATGCAGTGAGGTTTAGACCTTCAAATATGTGACTTAACCCTTTCAGGGTCCAAGGCCCAAATCTGGAGTCACGCACCAGTGTCCAAGAATTTTAAAAAAAAAAATTTGTTATTTTTTCTTATGAAATCGTAGAGAATCTTTTTGTGAAGGTAATAAAACAAAAAGTACGAAATTTGGTGGAAAATTGACTAAATTATGCTCTCGCAAATTTTGATGTGTCAGCGATATTTACGAATCGGCGATTTTGCTGACTTTGACTCCCATTTTAGGCCAATTACATTATTCCGATCAACCAAATTCTTAGCTATTTCACTAGTATTACTTCTATTCTATCGATTGAGCACAAGAAATCGCCAAATCAACTGTTTCAACTACAAAATAAAGTGATCGGAAATTGTTAATTTGGCCAATTTAACACAAAGTTCAAATTATTCCAATTTCAAAATAGGGTCCAGAATGAACAATGTAGGCATTCCTGGCACTAAACTAACATTTCCTCTGGTTCATTAGTTATGTTTTGAGGCTTTACAAATAAATTCCATTTTGATTTTTTATTCACATAATGAATTTTTATTCACACCAAAAAATAGAAGATTTACTGTTATGCAATACTGTAATAATTGTATAAATATCATCACCATATTTGTGAATGTATATTAGACCCACCAGCTGACGTGTATTAGACGTGTGAGGTCGTTTGTTTACTCTTGAATATCGGCAAAAATTTAACATTTCTGCTACTTTGAGCTCAGTTTCAAGCCATTTCAGTGCTAAAACCAATCAAAATCATCTCTATTTCTGTAATATGTCTTCCATTCTATCAAATGAGACCAAGAAATCACAAATACATCTATAAAAAACATACGAAAAAACACTGCAAAGTTGCTGTTTTAATTGAAAAATCATGATTTAATTTTTTTTCTCTCATTATACACAGTGTGCTGCAGGATCTGTTTTATGTGGTGCACACATACCACATAGATGTATTCTCTCATATCTAGGCCCAAATGTACCACTCAAAGTTTATCAGAGTGAGCTGAGCTCATGGCGTAGATCTACGGTTTGGACCCTGAACATAAAGCCGTAGATCTACGGGACGGACCCTGAAAGGGTTAAATGGGTTATCCAAGGTTATATTTGCGTAATGTACTTTTTATGTGCCCATAACGTGTGCTGTCAAGACCATTGTAAAAAAAAATTCTATAATGTATCCAAAATCTAAATAAAACACTTATTCAATAAACTTATGTAAGTAAAACTCCTGTTGGAAGTGTGTATTTGACACAGCTACCATGTATTCCAGAGAAAATAAGCACACATTCTTTCCATAGAAAATGGACATAGCTAAAACAATGCCTGGGGCTATTATTTCTTTACACAGTTGTCTTGTTTTCTTTTAAAACACTCAGACTTTCACTCATTCCCTTTTTTAGCACCTCCAATATTACTAGTATTTCTTTTATATGCCATGGTTACCAGAGGCGTTGTAAGGGGGGGGGCGGGCCACCCCGGGTGACACCATTTAGGGGGTGACACCAAAGAGCCTCTAAAGAAGGTGACACTAATGACCAAAACCATGCTGCAGCAACCTAAGAGAAAAATTCTTCATTTCTATATAGCCTATTATATTATTATTATTATTATTATTATAATCAAAAAAGAAGCGCTAAGCCACAAGGGCTATACAGCATAGCCTATTATAGGATTACAAGTACAAACAGGCCTATATAGGCAAATCATTGATTTTGATGATGCGATAGATAATTTTGCAGGATTGAAGGCAAGGAAATGATATATCAGATTCTTCGAGATGTTACCTGTACTCAAGGTTAAATCGGAACTAGTGTTTTTCTTTATTTTTCATTGTTCAAGATGAATAAATGTAGGATCTGTTGCTGTACTCAAAGTGGTGTTTGAGTTTATATTTCCTCAATATTACTACGATTATTTATTTTATCATTACTAAAGTTCTGTTTATGGCCTTCAAACGTTCTCATTGCTAAACATTAGTCACTGGTCATGCAACAGTGATGTAACGGGAGTTTACTACCCCCATCCCCCCGCCCTTGGATTTCATGGGGGTGACACCAAAGATGCCGCCCTGGGTGACACCAATGATTCCGCCCCGGGTGACACCAACTCTAGCGACGCCTCTGATGGTTACTATCCAGACACAAGACAGGGTAATAAAAAGGAAAACAGTAAATACAAGAGGTGGGTGGATGGAGGGGCAGCAGTGTGGAACTTAGTGGGGCAGCCAGCTGCACCAGCCACCCCACCAACCTCAGTCTCTCTCTGGACAGCATACATCTCCTAGTCACTTGTGGTTTTCATCTATTAAATCTGTGGTTCTTAACTAATCTCTTCCAAATAAAAGTGGGCTATCTATACATATATAGAGTGATCATACATAAAGTATTAATTCATTTGGTCAAAAATTAACCAAGGAAAAAATGTTAATAATTCAAGCCTTACAAAAGCCTAAATATAAAAATCTATGGTTCCTGACCAATCTCTACCAAACAAATATAAACTCCCAATACATGCATAAAATGAATACAGCACACAGAATTGAACTGATAAAAAAAATAGTAGTTACTGTGATAAATGTTCAATCTTCACAACAAAAGGTAGAAATCGATACAAAAAATGAACAGTGAACAAGCAGAAATGCAGTAGGTGGAGCCATGAGAGGTGGTTGTCTACTGAACCTGCTACTCTTGCCACAACCCTACCCTCTCCACACAATGGCTCAGGCATGCAATTACCCTCACTACAATCCTTCCATTGGCCTCACAATAGCACTGAGGTCGATAGCATGTAGTGTTGCATCAGGTAAGATAGAGAGGGGACACAAGACAAAAGTGTCCTATTGCTATTGCCTATGCCATGTTGATTAGATACAAGAGGGAGGGAGGGTGGGTTAGAACATGAGGGAATGTGAGAGAGAAGGCAAGATTATTATTATTATATTATTTATTATTATTATAGTCGGACTTGAGTCCTGGAAATGGGAAGTACAATGCCTGCACTTTAAAGGAGGGGTTTGGGATATTGGCAGTTTGGAGGGATATGTTGTGTATCTTTATATGTGTATGCTTCTAAACTGTTGTATTCTGAGCACCTCTGCAAAAACAGTGATAATGTGTGAGTGTGGTGAAAGTGTTGAATGATGATGAAAGTATTTTCTTTTTGGGGATTTTCTTTCTTTTTTGGGTCACCCTGCCTCGGTGGGAGACGGCCGACTTGTTGAAAAAAAGGTGCTAAACCTAGTAAACTGAGTACTGTACATTATTTTTAATTTCATTGTTCAACAATAAATGAAATTAGTTATGGAATTTTATGCCTTAGTAATGCATCTTCAGTAGTAATATGGGTTACTGTATTTATCAAACTTTGTTCAGAGTTCAGACCACTTAAGTTATGAATAATTTGCAGTATTGCATTCATTCCTATTAGTGTATATTATACAGTTGTATGAAATTGTTGAAAATCTCTAGATTTCAAATGTGATTCTTGTTAATAAATTTGAAATTTTAATAATTCATGGTCTTCATTACACTTTGAAGCATTTTAACTCTTTCAGGGTCCGAGCCGTAGATCTACACAATGAGCTCAGCTCACTTTGATAAGCTGTGAGCAGTAAATTTGGGCCTAGATACGAGAGAAAACATCTATATGGTATGTGTGCACCACATAAAACAAATCCTGCAGCACACAGTGCATAATAAGAGAAAAAAACCGAGACTGTAATTTTGGATTAAAACACCGACTTTGCAGTGTTTTTTCGTATGTTTTTTATAGTTGTATTTGCGATTTCTAGGTCTCATTTGATAGAATGAAAGATATGTTACAGAAATAGAGATGATTTTGATTGGTTTTAGTACCGGAAATGGCTTGAAACTTAGCTCAAAGTAGCGGAAATGTTAAATTTTGCCGATGTTCAAGAGTGAACAAATGACCTCAAGTCTTATACACGCCAGCTGGTGGGTCTAATATACGTTCACAAATTAAAAACAAGTTAAAAACAGAGTAGGGGAGTTAGTAGATGGGGAGAGGGAGGTATTAGGTAGATGGCGAGAATATTTTGAGGTACATGAGGCATTACGTAGAATGAAAGGGGGTAAAGCAGCTGGAACTGATGGGATCATGACAGAAATGTTAAAAGCAAGGGGGGATATAGTGTTGGAGTGGTTGGTACTTTTGTTTAATAAATGTATGAAAGAGGGGAAGGTACCTAGGGATTGGCGGAGAGCATGTATAGTCCCTTTATATAAAGGGAAAAGGGACAAAAGAGATTGTGAAAATTATAGAGGAATAAGTTTACTGAGTATACCAGGAAAAGTATACAGTAGGGTTATAATTGAAAGAATTAGAGGTAAGACAAAATGTAGAATTGCGGATGAGCAAGGAGGCTTCAGAGTGGGTAGGGGATGTGTAGATCAAGTGTTTACATTGAAACATATATGTGAACAGTATTTAGATAACGGTAGGGAAGTTTTTATTGCATTTATGGATTTAGAAAAGGCATATGATAGAGTGGATAGAGGACCATGGACCCAAAGAAAGCTTCTAGTGCCAGCCCTTTGGTAAAGAGGGTGAAAAACACTATAGAATTCAAGAAAAAGTTTGTAGAAAGATACGAAATTGGTGGTGGTAGAGGGTGGTAGTATGGGCCAACAGGTCTGCTGCAGTGTTCCTGCTTTCTTGTGTACACCAGCCAGGGTACTTCCCCATATACCAGCCAGGGTACTTCCCCACACACCAGCCAGGGTACTTCCCCACATACCAGCCAGGGTACTTCCCCACATACACAATTTGATTTGACTGGGACTTGCACGAGTGAATAGCTTTCTTTCTTTCTTTTTTTCAACAAACCGGCCGTATCCCACCGAGGCAGGGTGGCTCAAAAAGAAAAACAAAAGTTTCTCTTTTTAAATTTAGTAATTTATACAGGAGAAGG